AGAACACAACTGCTAATGTCTTTCTGAGGTTGATCCGTTGACACAGACGCAAAGATTTTGACCTAAACTTTAGTAGTGGCTGAGACTGTACAACTCAAGATGGCTGTCACATCAGTCGATTATGAAAAACACAAAGATTGTAATTCAATCTATTTCCAGATGTTGAGCTAAAATTTAACAAGATGCTCACTGAGTCATTCACAGACTTTTCTTTTTGTCCCTCGTTGACCTCAGTGTGACGCACCCACCGTGACATCAAAAGTGTAACGTCACGTCCAGAAGTAATGTCCGAAGAACAGAGCTGGTGGAAAACGGGTGATCTAGGTTGAGTTGCGTTAACGTGTCGCCGTGCACGTTTCCAGCGACACGCTGCCTGCTCAGTTTATGTCGCAGTTATTTTTTTCTTTTACAACGTGGTTGAGATGAAACAATTGTTTCGTACTTCTCCAGTTCACAACGCTGTAATGAATCTCGTACGACCTTTCCCTTCACAGCTGTGCTCGTCCACTTTCCCCTTATTAAAATCTCACTTTCCTCCAGGCGGTGTCACTTTGAGTTCAGCTCAAGCCAAGATGACGGAAACAGAACATCCAGCTAACAAGATCTATCTCAGCACCCCCACTTTCCGTGCAGAATTCCTGGAGCACACAAATCCACCGCCCCTAGGGACCAATATGCGCCCCCCCCCCCCCAACCCCCTCCATGACCTCAGTGCACCCCCCCACCCCCCTGCTCCATGGAGCCTGCCGCTGGCAGGGACTAGGTAGTGGTCCTGTAATCAAGCGCCCCTCTCTCTCCGCTCCCAGAAATGCATGTTTACAGACAAACAGGAGTATAATTAGCTCCACTCGGTGCAGCAACAAAATGAAAGCTGCCTCACAGTTTCCTCATATAAAAAAATTACAGAGCTCCTTCACAAAAATACACATCACTCACAGAGTTTCGGTCAAACCTTGAAAGTGAAGTTGTGTGCAATCTCATGCACTACAGTACATGTTGTGAATGACTCTTAGCTAATACCACATTAAATCATACCCTAATATCCATTAAACTGACTGAGTTATGACAATTTATGTGCTGGCTCAGGTTGATGAGCTGTGGTGACCATCTAAAGCTACAGCGTGTGCTCTCAGGACATTATTACCTGCAGTGTTCCCTCAGTGCGGACTGAACTAGGCAAAAGGGCCTTCTCCTACTCCGCTCCTGTTTCCTGGAATATCTTACAAAAATATTTGAAGCTCTCGACCTTGACCTCTCTAAGTGGCTTTAAGAATCTGTTGGACTCCTGGCAGGGACCAATGCAGACATGTTCCTGTTTTTAGTTTTCTACATTCACCTTATAATCTAGCTGTTTTTTGTTACTTTTCTTTTTTTAGCCATCCTATTTGTTTAAAAAAAAATCTGTATGACTTTTTATAACTCTTTATTGTTGTCGCTGTTGTCCATCGTCATCATTCTTTGTTGAAATCAGGTCTCTCTTGTAAATGAGTCTTCGAGGCTCAATGGAATTTATTCATCTAAATAAAGGTTGAATGAAAGTCGACTGACTCAGAAAGTTAATAATTTGTAACGGTGTTTCCAGTAATTACCTACTGAGGGTTTCATTAAAATCTGTTTAGCCGTTCATAAGATAGTTTGCTAACAGACAAACAGTGCCGACTACAACAGTTAATGCAATTTTATTTTTTAGCCAACGATCTCATGCATTGTGGCAGCCATCTTAAACTGGTTCAGCTCCAAAGGTTGATCAGTTCCAAATGTCCATTGAAGGATATACTAAAAGTTTCATTGAAATTCGTTCAGTGGGTTACAAGATATTCTGCTAACAGACAGACAGAGTTGAGACTTAATAACTAATGGCAAAATTTTAAACAAAAATCTTTTAGGTCTTCAAATATGTGCTGGGGATCAGTCTCAGCTACTACCACACCAATTTTTAGCTCAAAATCTGTAAAACTCAGTCATAGCCTTTTTAGTGTTTTTAATAAGTAATGAAGATGGTGGAACGACTTATCTCACCCCTAAGCCTTAAAAACTTTGTCATGTAAGAATATTCTGCAACTACAATCTCCACGGGGGTGTTTAATGGGTAAAACAAACTGTTTTTGCTTCTTTCTTCAGGATTGTTCCAGCTGGACAGTAAGAAGTTTCAACTCGTTGTTCCCTGGAACTACTCGGTGCATCTGATATGATGTTATGAGGCCATCTTAAAATCCCGCTCTTTTAGAGCTATTCATTGCCGGTGATTCAGGGTAAATATTTACTCTGAGCAGGACAGAAAGAGGAGCTCGACAGCCACCAGAACACAGCGTGAAAGACTTCAGAAAGGAAACGCTTCAAGCTGGTTACTCTTCTTCTTTTTTTATATACCAGACATCATCTTCTCAAATTCCACTTTTTTTTTTCTCCAGTCTTTTCCTTCTGACAGACTTGGACTCTGGTTACGCTCCTCTCATGCTCGCTCACACACGAACGCTCCGACTGATGCCGCGCCACTCCCAGCAGCTCGTTTCTCATCACTTCAAACACCTAAAGGCCAATTTCTTCTTGCTCCCTTCTCTCCTTCACCCTTTCACCGACTACTAGAGTTCTTCTTTAAAACACTGCTTTCTTTCACTACAGTTTAACAGTGTCACTTCCTCTACCACACATCCACACACACAATCACCTTTTGCCCTCTTCATTTCCTCCATCCCTCCATTGGTTCCCCATCGCTGTAGTGCAACAGTAAAAACATACACACGCACAGCCAACAAGACTTGCGATGGGCCTCAGGCGCCCCGTGTTATGATAAACACACCTAATAGATAATAGGATGTGTCACACTCGGTCTGGCTCACTCACTAAATCACACACACACACACACAACGTTGAGTACATGCAAGCCTGGGCGAAGTCCTGCATTCAAACTAACACTGAAGACACAAAACGGAGAGCCTGCAGGAGCAAACAGAGGTGAACGTTGGGTAAATATGTAACCTAATGAGTCAGGCTCAGCCATCACAGGACTGATCTGAGCTCCGCTGGCACACACAGGGTATAAATACCACCAGCTTCTAAATCTGCTTCAACATGAGGGGACCAGGAACAGGGCAGGTCTCTGAGACTGAGAGGAAGATGAAAGGACAAGAGGCAGATAAAAGAAGGGAAGCCAAATGATCTGCACGGCAGAAAGTCAAGGGTTTTAAAGTGCCAACCTGGCTCCAACCCCAAGTGTCCACTTCCACTTGATGAGAGCGAGCTGTGGGCGTGCTGCACGAGAAGAAAGCTTGTAGGTGTGTGTGGTGTTTGTTTAAAGCAATCTTATCTCCCCTTTTGTGCTCTCCCTCCAGATAAACCTGCAACAAGCCGTCCACTGGAATAAATAACCCCCTCACATGCCGCTCCGTGTTATTTTGGTCCTCTCTGACTTGAACCCTTTTATATAAGTTGGCTCATTTGTTCACCCATCATGCATACGTTTAAAATGTCAGTTAAACAAAGAAAACAATAACTGTAACATAAACAGGCGCTAAGATGCAGCTGAAAAAGGGTGTGACCTCACGAAAGTGTATTAGCAGAGGGTCCAATAAGAAAGGAATGCAGCTGACTAATAATAATTGTCCTTCCACTGCAGGAATGTGGGACACATAACTGGTCCAGGATCAGAAGTTTAATTTCTGTTGTGGTGCAGAAACAATAAAAATACAAAACGCTCTTTGCTTTAATAGAAACGCAACTAAAACAGTGGAGGCATTCAGAGCCGAGGAGTAAAAACGGATCGATACGGCAAGGATAAAAACTCTCCTGTGCAAAACAAAATCTTACTTCAGTGACAGGTGTTCAGTCAAAACAGGAAGAGGGTTCATTCTCTTCAGCCGACAGGTTCCATAAAGGTTTTTACTCATAAGAGATACGAGCAGCAGAACACTGACTAAAAGAGGCAAAATGCTAGCTAAACAGGAAAAATACTCAATTTTAGTTAGAAATTTAAATAAGCAAAACATTATCTAGGGCGGCATCTATGGTGGCTTGAGCTGTTGCCTCTCAGCGAGAAGTTCGCCGGTTCAAATCCTGGTCTGGAGACCTTTCTAGGTGGAGTTTGCATGTTCTCTCCATGCATGAGTGGGTTTTTTCCAGGTACTCCAGTTTCCTCCCACAGACCAAAAACGTGCATGTTAGTCTGATTGGCAACTCTAAATTGTCTCCAGGTGTGAGTGAGAGAGTGAATGGTTGTTTGTCTCTATGTGTCCCTGTGATGGACTGGAGACCTGTCCAGGGCGTACCCCTCCTCTCTCACAGTGACAGCTGGAGATAGGTATCAGCTCCCTTGCGACCCAAAAATAAAAAGTGGATAAAATATAATGGATGGAGGGAAAAAAAGAGTAAAAATATGCAAATTGTGGTACTTCAGGGTTGAAATAGATGAGTTTGAGTGAGAAATCAATAACACTCAGTCGAAATGTTACGTGTGAGTGGAATCTGCTTCTGTGGAGATCCACTTCAGGTTCTCGCATTACATCCTGTACGCACGTGGCTGCTCTCCAGAGCAGCACGTACAGACACTTCACCCCTGATAAAGCTCTTACCAAGCTACAGGAGGAGGTATGGAGCAGAAACATATGCACACGGAGGCCCCGGCTCATGCTCATGTTCTCATATTATCACTCACAGGGAAACTGAGCCTGAACGTATTGCAAGTAGAACTTTATGACTGAGGTGTGTGGTCTGGTTGACCCGACGTATGAACACGCCTCGGGGAAACGGAGGCATTCGCAGTCAGTTTCCGTGCGAATGTGCAAAGACAAGCAGCCTGTGTTGAAGCTGGGGAACGATCTACCTATCAAATAAACTTTAGCTCCTCAGTTTACCGAACTGCTCCCTTCACCGCATGCCATGTACAGACATCACTCACAACGGCAGGGCCAAGGAATCCGAGGTGAGGAAGAGGCCATCACGGAGATTAAAAGGTGGTATACGTATTTTTTAAGGCTTGTATGTAAAGATTTGGACAGTCTTACCTGAGAGAAGCACCTGCGGTTCTCCTTCTCCGGTCCTGAGCATCTGAACACTTGAAAAGCTCCTCCTCCGTGCCTCCCAGACTCGACTCCCTGGTGAGGCGTGTGCTGGTGCTGTAAGGGGTAGACGTTGCCTGCAGGTGGTGCGGGTTGAGGGTTGAAATCTGGGTGAGGTTCCTGGTCTCTGTGCGCAGAGCCGGGTTGGTGGAGAGGCGAGGAGAAAAGTGGAGAGGAGCGCTGGCGCGAGAGGGAAGGAGGAGGAGCAGTGATGGAGTTCCAGTCGAATCGGTGGCGGTTGATGAAGACAGGCGGTGATGAGGAGCGCTGGAAGGGGTGCTGAGATTGGACTCTGATCCTCCTCAGCTCCGTGTGGGACGGTTTGTCCACGTGTTGACGTGGCCTTACAGTGGGGGGCACCTCCTCACCAGCAGGTGCCTTACTGATCTCCTGCTGCCCGTTCTCCTCCTCTGTCCTCCCCGTCTCATCTTCCTCATCAATCTCTGTCTCCTCTAGGTTCTTGGTGTTTTCTTCATCATCACTCAGGTCGAGAGCTTCATCGGTGCCGTTAGCAGTGTGGCGAGCTTGGCGGTTGGTGCGATGCAAAGGCAGAGAGAAGGGAACCTTTCCGTACCCAAACTGACCTGGACGGATGCTGGAAGACCTGCAGGGAATGTTTAGACAGAAATGTAATGTTGACAGACGAAGCCCAGAAAGGCAGAGCAAAGCGACTGAAAACAGCATAAACCAGACTGGTGAGTGATGGATGCAGCGCAAATGATAAAAAACAGAAATAAGGATGTGATTACACAGCAGATACCAGAGGAAGAGACGGGACGAACTTCAGCCATCACAGTAACAAACTTAATGCTTTAACTTTAACTAATCCTGGTGCTCTGAAATATCATCCCCAGAACTCACTCCGTTCCTGTATTCACGATGAGATACACATCTTTTCTTTGTCCGCTAACAATGGGGCGGCGACTGTTTGTCCCAAACAAACCACTGTTGCTACTGCAAGCCGTGCAAATCTCACTTCCTTTAATGGAAGTAATTTTTTCCATGAATAAAGCAAAACTCAGGGTGCTGACGGAGACAAAAAACTACTTTCTGATCCTCCAAATATTAGCTGATAGTCATGTTACGATAAAAACACACATTTCTGACAAGTAGAAAACCCTTGCATTTTCAGCATCTCCCGATGAACAAACCATATATTTGTTAATTTTAGCTTAAATAACTTTGCCTTTTCTGTGCTAATGCTTGTTATAAAACAGACATACATGGCGACAGCAAGTTAGTCTTTTTCTAGTAATCAAACAAAATGTAAAAGGTGTAATGTTGCAGTATACGATGTACATGAAAACGTGATGTTATATAGTTTTACTGAATTTCTTTTTTGCCCAATTTGCCTCGTTTTTTAGATTTTTAATTATGATTATTTTGTACAATTGCTAAAATTGCTCTATGAATTCATCCATCCATTATCTTTACCCGCTTCTTCATTTATGGGTTGCAGGTGTCACTGATGCGCATGTCCCGTCATCACTGTGCGAGAGGCGGGGGACACCCTGGACAGGTCTCCAGTCCGTTGCAAAGACACATAGAGACAAATGAGACAAACAACCGTTCACTCTCTCACTCACACCTAGGGACAATTTAGAGTTACCAATCAGCCTAACATGCATGTTTTTGGTCTGTGGGAGGAAACCGGAGTACCCGGAGAAAACCCACACATGCACGGAGAGAACATGCAAACTCCACCCAGAAAGGCCCTCAGCCGGGATTTGAACTGGGGAGACCTGCTCGCTGAGAGGCGGCGGCTCGACCAACTGCACCACCGTGCCGCCCTGCTCTATGAATGAAGTTTTAAATGTTTTAAATTCCATAACATGAGACCAAGCTGTAAACGTAAATGACTGTAAATCGTTGTAAATGAAAACAAACGGTAAACGAAACATTTCCCAGACGGTGAAATGTTTTGGTCTTGAAGAGGCTCCATGTTATATATACTGTATTTTACCTGCTTTATTCTTCTGTGAAATCACCACTGACTGACCGTATAGATACTAACTCACCACGTGAGATTAGAAACACAAAAATATTTTGAACTCACAAAAATATTTTGAACTCCAGTGTTACATCATGTGATTTCTGTGCTATTATTATAATTTTCAAGGAAAATTTTCTCCATTGTTTTCGTCTTATGTCATCCCAAAGCTCACCACACTTTAAGAGCGCTAGCATCTCAGCCTCTGTCATCTAAACTGGGTGTGGGGATCAAGGGCAGCTAGAGACCATTTGAACATCCACTACTTTGAATGTGTTAACTCGCTCAATCTAACTCACCTTCTCGAAGGTAAACCCTCCAGATTGGTGGAGACCGAGCGCCTGCTCCCGCCTCCTCCGGCTCTCGCTGCTCCTGGATTGGTCAACCTCCTGATGACCCGTGCTGGTGGGTTGTAGCCCTGTGAGGGCGTGTAGTAAGGCGATCGGTAACCAGAGGCAGGGTTTTGATTGGCCGGAGACGATTCAGAATGGTAAAAAGGAGGAGAGCGATTTTCTGGTCCTAGAACTTGAGGCCTTTCTCCTCCAGCGGGGGTGTTCCGGTACAAAGGTAATCCAGGATTATGATTGTTGGAGGATGATGGAGAGCGATAAGGCGGGTGTTGCCCTGGGTAACGAGGAGGGTAGAAAGGGTTGACAGGTGAGGCTGCAGGTTCCCCGTTGCTTCTGTGCAAATAACCAGCCCAGTTTGGCGGGGAGAGTGAGATGGGAGGGGTCTGAGGAAGTGGAGGGGGTAAACACTTCCTGCTCCTTTGTGAAATGCCCACACCACAGGTTTGAGAGCATTCTGACCACTCCCCCCACACAGACCACACCCCCTCTACAGGCTCCGCCTCAAAGGCCTGTCTGGACCTTCGACTTGCAACCTGAGAGACAAACACAACAACAAACACACACAAAGATGTCAAACGCTGATAAAAGCAGGGGTGGGCACAGTTCTGAAAATCTGTTAATAGTGGAACTAATTGTTTAGCAGATTTGCATTTTTGCTAACTTTGTATACCGTTAGCAGAAGTAGCTTTTGCTAAATTGGATTTCGCCAACTTTAAGTCCGTTAACAAAATTCACAAGCTTGTTCCTGTCTGTTGTGGGCGTGTCTTGGAGAGTCCGTTAGGCACAATGTTGGCTAACTATTTGTACACGTAACAAGACGTGATTGTCAACACAGCTTCAACTAGAAGGAGCCGAAGATGTGTGACAGACTGTGACATTCGTCTTAGCAGTTAGCGGTTTAGCATTAGCTTTCACTAATTATTTTAGCTATTTAGCTGTTTAGCAGTTGAGCATTAGCAAAACTAACTGTTTGGTTTGCTGTGCCCACTGCATCACCACCTGATCAAAGTATAAAAAACAATCATTATGCTTATAGTACAGTTCTTCAGCCTCTTAATTCAACATTTTTCAGTCAGGTCATCGGGACAGCCTTTCTTTTTTTGTGCTGAAACGTTTCGCCTTCGATCCAGAAGGCTTCATCAGTCAAGGAAACACACAATACAAAACTGATTCTTCCTCCCACAGCTTACTCCAAAGTGGAACAAACCAGTTTTGTTGGTGCTAAAATGGTCTCTGTGGCACGCCCCCTCCTCCATTGCTTGCCCTCTTCCTTGTTGACAGTCGTGTCAAACTAGTTGAAAACAACAAAGTCCATGCTCAATAATCCAGGTATACAACTGTCTGACTGTCCAGATGACGTGACTGAAAAATGTTGAATTGTACACCTGGATTATTGAGCATGGATGTGTTGTTCAGCCTCTTAACTACCAACAGATATTAAGAGTTCAGACATTTGCTCAAACAGCAGAGGATAAAGAGCTGCATATATATATAATATAATATAATATAATATATATATATATATATATATATATATATATATATATATATATATAAGTTTATTGGGAAACATTTGATCTAAAACCTGGGAACATATAAAAATGTCAATTACACTTACCTTTTCAGATAGTTAAATAAAAAGCCCCCAAACTACCAGAGTCAATTTAAAAAATGTTGAATTTTTTTGTACTTTAAAAGTCATCCAAGAAACAAATCTGGGCCGCCAGACTCAGTCCAGAAGCTGCTTCTTCAGATTTATTCTCGCTGGCAGCAAAGCTTCTCATGAAATAAAAACAGCCGAGGTCAGCATGCTGAAAGATAGCATTACAGACGCTAAAAAGTACTTTATCTGAAGTGTTCCTCTGTTCTCCTATAGCCAAAACTCTGCTGAAAATAAATAAATAAATAAAAACTGCAAACCTTGGCAACATTTTAAAGAAGCACTTAAAAAAGAGAAGAAGGTTTCCCAGTGCAGCATCCAAACTGTCCACAGGGACGTACAGTGTTTCACTGATGAGCTGCAGTGTCGTGAGTTTCCTTCCTTGGAGGCCAAACTCTAAATCCTGAACTCTGTAATCCTGCATCACCTGCCAGCAGCTAGAGAGCAGCTGGATAAATTCACCAGAGGTTATGTCCTATAAAGTCGCCGCAGGAACCAGACGATTGCGGCTGCCTTAGTGTTTTGGTATCTATGTGTGGGTGCCTGTGTGTGAAAACCAGCTGAGGCTTTGATGCGTTCCTCTGCAGTTGTAGATAAATGTTTTTCCTCTCATTTCATAACCGAGGCACCGGCCTGGCTGGCAGAGCGAGAAACATGCGAGCTGAACAAAAGTTGCCTTTGAACATAAATCTGTGGCCCTCTTTCTCTTTACAAGTTTGTGTGTGTACACTGGCAGAAATGTGCAGATAAACATACAAGCTGTTTGTAGACAGGTGTCAGCAACTAAACCTTCGGTTTTTACCAGTTCTGAGGCAAATTTGTCCAGTTTTTCACCACATGAAATGGGTTCCAGTCTTTATCTGGGGTACAGCAGTGGGAGAAAAGGAAGGATGGAGGGATGAAGGAAGTACCGTAATGTGCATGTGTGGGAAGGTGTGCTGCCTGGTTGTAATGAGTGCCATCAAACACACAGCTGAGCTGCCACATAACTGGGACTATTAATGAGCTGTGAGCGGTGACCCCCACAGCAGCCGCCAGTGGCCTCCGGAGCTACTGGTTCAGCTTCTGTACACCTGGAAATACATCTGACAGGAGGGCAGCTATAAACCCTTCTACAATAAGACCTGCGGAGATTCCTTAGACTGAAAAATTTACTGTAAACTTTACAAATTTAGAAAAAGTTTAGTAAACCTTAAATTTATTAATCTCTTAATTTGGGTTAACAGAAGCCTAAGAGCTGATTTTTGCCAGATTTAACTTTTTGGGTTTTGTTAATCTTTTGCCAAAATATATGTTAAAACTGTACTCTGTATTTATTTTATTCGAGCTTTTTACACTGAATTCCTTTTGTATCAGACAGTTATTTACATTTAAGACCGGCTGTGTGAAAACTAGAGGTCTTTATTCACCTCATGAATCAGAGGGCTGCGATGGGATTATCATATATAATCCCTCTTCAAACATGATCCTGAGAAGAGAATCTCTCCTAAAACCCAAATAAAAGATTTTAATAGTTCCCACTGGTACCTTTGTGTTGAGCTTCCTCCTAAAATACCTGTATGTAGTTAAATGTGGCCTATAAAATTAAACACATAAATAAATCATGAAACAAATTCCAAAAGCTTCATTTTAATTTTTTTTTTTAAGTTTCATGTTTTTTGATATAACATTTTATTTCTACTAATAGTCTCTTACTATTAAGGTGAGTTAATGAAATTTCATTGATTAAATGGTTTAAAAATGGCAAATATCAAACAAAGTGCTTCGGTTCAATGTAACACTTGATGCTTTGATTTGTGATGCAAAAGTAATACTGGGCAAAAATCCAAATGGTGCATTCACTTTTAAAGTTTGACTTGTTGTAATTGGCTGAAATGTGTCTTTAAATCAACTCCTTTTCTGATTAGTCATCAGCTTCATGCTCCCATGAGAGGTTCTCCCTGACTCTCCAAACTGAGATCACACAGACAGTCATCTGCTACAGGTAAGATACTGACTCAGAAGTTCTGAAGACCCTAAAGCAAAATTAGAAGAATCCAGATAAACTTTCGGAGAAACTTATTGTTTTAAAGTCTGAAATAAATTGTAAAATTTACTGTAAATGGAAAACTCTTGCTCTTTTCTGCAGCTCTTCTTTCTGTTCATCTGCAGATGAAGCCTCAACACATAAAAAAACTTCCCTTCTAATGTTGCCGTCTCTTTCGAACACACACATTTGATGTCACTAACTCAGACTGATTAAACCTCACATTAGTCGTTTACCCTGTAACTCTTTTGTCTTGGAGCCTGGAGGAACATTCGTACTCTCATTCATACGTTTGCGTCTGGATGAGATGCTTTATGAGGAACTAGTCTCCCTTTCCCACCTCTATAGTGACAGTGATGTTAAACTAAACGATCTAATGACTCACCTTCCTCTTGGCGGTCCTGGTCACGGAGGTGGTGACCACCACAAAGCCCCACAGCACATAAAACCTGAAGGAGAAAGAAGTGGCACAAAAACACAGTTTAAAAACAAACAGCGGACTGAATGAGGTCCTTTCTGGAGCTCATAATTATTCCATGACCTAAACTTGAACGTACAGTAAAATCATGTTAAAACGCACAGAGGCCTCCATTCTTCTCTGTCCAAGGAAAGTCATAGGTGCTGGGTTAACACCCTATCACATGTTCCAGTGACCCAAGTGTAGTTTATGCCTTTTTGTGTCCCCTCTAAAGGTAGCGCGTGGCCTGTGGGAGGGTGATGAATAAATGTTTCTATTTTCCTCCCTGAAGGGGTCACTGACAAACATTCCCAATCGATTTGAGAAATCCAAGTGGGCGCTAACAAATAAATGGGTTAAAGCAGCCGACCTGTTTTTCCTGCGACTGTACACACTCTGAGGATGTGGTTTGAGCACACACACAGCACCCACACCCGCAGTCAACAAAATTCATCCTGTGTTGCTCGGGATGTTTTGGGTTTGCGCTCAAATGAGCAGTGATGTAAACGATTAAGTCTACTAAGAGGAATAAACCCATTTAACCATTTAGATATCTTTATTGGTTTTTACACAAACTTTTAAACTGTCTAAACCAGGGGTGTCCAATCCTGGTCCTACTATCCTTCAGGTTTTACTCTCTCTCTGCTCCAACACGCCTGATTCAATGGTTGAATTACCTCTTCGTGTTCTGCAGAAGCCTGTTAATCCCCCATTGATTGAAATCTAGTGTGTTGGAGCAGAGAATCTAAATCAAACATGCAGGATAGTGGCCCTCGAGGATGAGGACCAAACACCCCTGAGAAGTAAAATTTATGCAAACTAATGCTCCTTATTCCAACAAACATTACACTTTTTTTTTACAAGTTTCACATCAAAACAGACAATTTGTTGGCTTTTCACCCAGCATGTCTCTCATTGCCATAGGACGTACAAACACTCAATGACTTCCATTGTTTCTGACTTTTCTCTGCCAAACTGGAAGCGGAGGGGCTTTTAAACTGGTCATAATTTGAATAAATCACTGCAGAAACCGAAAACTATTCCATTTGTGACAACCAACCCCCTCTGCTACTTACATTTCTGGATATAACTCATTCTTTTCTTCATATTAGGCTTATGTTTCACTTGGCGTTTCGGATTCTCCAGTGAGTTGTTGTCAGGGAGTGACAGACACAGGTGTGTGGTTGCCACAGCAACCATGGTAAGTAACTCACAGCAACATTTCTTTTGTTGTTGGTTATTTTTACACTTCTTGCTTATAGTCAAAAAGCATATGTTGTCTGGATTGTTGTGGGGTGGGATGATGTTAGAACTTGCTGCATGGGAACCATCAGAAAAGTTCTAGTTTTTTTTTGTTAGAATTGGATTAATCTCGAGTTAAGAGACAAAAACAGAAGCAGGTGCATCGCAAACAAGTGGATTTCCATTCCAGTCTGCCAGGAATAACAATAAAAAAATCACCCTGGAAATACTAAACAACTTCTAAAGATGGACACTGCAGCGCTCACCGCTGGAACCGAACCATCACCGCAGCCAGCAGCCCGCAAGCCACATGTGGGCGCAGTAATCGGCCCTTCTTCCCAGTGTGGTGCACCGCCGCGGTCTCTGGAAACTTCCCCTCACCACACCGCACCATTACCCCCCGAGAAACTCACACAAAGGCACAACAGAGCTGCCCAGGCCGAAGTAACGACCCCCCTACTCCGCTCCACGTTTCCAGTGGCGCATTGTAGACTGAACCCAGGCAGAGGGGTGGGACAGAGGGGAAAGCTTACAAAAATCCACCCTGAGGGGGGAGAAAAGAAACGGAACCTGCCTGTGCGTGAAGTTCTATCAGAGCGCTGCGCGCAACGACAGGCACCGTGCGTAAAACCAAAAGCCCTCACCAAGAACGCAACTAACAAACAAAAACAGCCTGCCCGCTCCGAGGGGATACCTATCCACATGTGGCGCCGCAGCTGGATTCAAGGTTTACCTGAAGAGTGAACCGAGCCGCATGCTCCAAGAGTTCCCCCGCGCGCGCACGTCTGGATAATCAGTCCGAGTTTTAAAAAAAGTCTATTCCGGGGGTCCCGTGAGAGACATGTGAAGTTCTCCCTCTTCTTCTGCTCTCACTCTGTCTGTCCCATTGCTGCTGTCACAGTCACTCCCCGTGATTTCTGCGGAGTGGGAAGGGTTTCTCTCCCCCTCCCCCCTCCTCCCCCTCCCTCTTTCAGTCCTGTTCGCTCGACCACTAGTTGCGGGTCTTTATTATTATTAAACGCCGACTGGGAGAGAAATAAAATGGTCAGATTGCACAATTTAAGTTTAAATCGCACACGCCCTCTCTGACACACGCACACTCCTGACTAAGCTATAATAACCCTGAGCCGATTTCTCGTTGCAACACAATAATGGCTCTTTGTGCTCAGTCCCGACCCACTCCTCCCCAGAAACAAACAAAAACTAATTTTATTTTTTTTTAAAGAAAGTTTACATTTCTATTTGAAATCATATGGGCACAAAGATCATAATGGATCATTAAACTCTGACATTTGGTTAAATGTTCCAAAAGGTTGCACATCAACAAGCCTCTGGTTTAATTCTAGCTTAAGTTGATCAATTAAATTCAATTCAGTTCATTTATATAGCGCCAAGTCACAACAGAAGTCATCTCAGGGCACTGAACAGAAAGATTCATATATAAAAATAATAATTTAACATTATTTATCTGAGGAGCAGACTGCTTTGAGTTTAACTCCATCACAGAACTCTCATCTTGAACAAGCATGAAGGCGACAGTGGAAAGGAAAAACTCCCTCATGACGAAGAAACCTTTAGCAGAACCAGGATCAGGACAAGCGACCATCTGCTTTGACCAGCTGTGGAACAGATACACAATGGCAGGTTGAGAATTGTGTTAAAGTAGAAATCGAATGAAAACTATTCAATTTTAACAATTAATTTAAGGAAATGAGGTCAATTTGTCCTTCAGTAGTCTTAGCAGACAAGCCAATAGGATTTTTACAAAAGGAAAGTCTTAAGCCCAGTCTTAAAACTGGACAACGTGTCAGCCTCACAGTCAGAAACTGGAAGTTGGTTCCACAAGAGAGGAGCCTGATAACTGAAAGCTCTGCCTCACATTCTGCTTTTGGAAACTCTAGGAACCACAAGTAAGCCTGCAGTCTGAGAGTGAAATGCTCCGTTAGGAAAATATGGAACAATAAGATCTGTAATATAAGATGGAGCTAGGTTGTTGAGCGCTTTGTAGGTTAGAAGTAAGATCACTCTTCTTGGCAGAATTTGTAGAGTTCATTTGAGTCGATTGGTTTCTTGTTCCAGACCCGGTGTTTAAGTGCAGTCCACAAAACACACAATTCTGTCCAAGTTTCCACCATGCAGTCTTTGATTTGAAATGAACTCCTCCTTCATTTATCCATCCATTTTGTGCACAGCATGAT